TCCCCCCATCTCCCGTGGACCCTAAAACCAGGGGGGTGTACATCACTTTGGATCGCATCATCCGGTTTAGCGAGACCCCAGGGTGTAAAGCGTGTGAGAAGAAAACGCGATACCACACGCCTGCATGCAGGAAACGTTTTGCCAAACTTGTTGATAAGGAGAGACGCGACCTTCTTGCCAAAAGGAAGGAAGGCATCACCGTCGAGGAGCTTCCACCGCGGGAGCCCGAGACCGCGCCTCCGACGGAGTCATCCGAAAGTGTAACTGAGCATGAGCCACACATCATCGATGCGACTCCGACTGTGATATCGGGGCTGTCGCTCTCGCCACACACCACATACAGGACGCAACTCATCCACACTCGCCCCGAGAGTGGAGTCCCGGTGTTTGGCATGCCATCAACAGCACAGACAGCTCAAGTTTCTAAGTCTAAGAAGAAGAAGAAGAAGAAGAAACCGCGTAAGGCGCGGCCTGGCCGATGCATGTTCGAGTTCGCATGTGCCTCGGATTCGCAAATGCACGAGACTTTTCTGGAGATGGGAATTCCCCACATTGCCCTTTCAAAAGAGCACCTCGATCTAGACGATCCCCAAATGCAAGCGCAGTTGCATCACCACATAAGCACCTGCAAAGAGATTCCTGATTTATGGGCCTCAATCCCTTGCGCATCAGGGTCTCCTTGGCAAAGGGTAAATCGCATGAAAGGGGGGCTCAACTTCATGAAAAGGCATGCGCTTCAGGTTAAGGAGTCTAAACGTTTATTTGCTGAATTCGCTAAGTCTGCAGAGCTTACTTTAGCTCGAGAAGGCACTGTCACTTTCGAGCGGCCTAAAGGGTGTGAAAGTTGGCAACGCACAGACGTAAAACATTTCTTTGATAGCCACCCCGAGTTTGTTCCAGTCGAATTTGACGGGTGTGCTGTTGTGGTGTGAAATCCACTAAAGGCAGACCCATTAAAAAGAGGTGGCGACTGATGACCACCAGCAGGGCTATCGTCGACATGTTCTCGAAGTTCCAATGCACCCATAAACCCCACGAACATGATCAAGCGGTCGGGTCGCAGACAGCTCGTACTGCATTTTACCCAAGGCAGATGACCGTCCAAATTGCAAAGGCCCTGTACCCTAGCATGTTTTTTTCCCATCATGCCCCAGCCATGCCATGTTTTTCATGTACCCATGAACATGAGCACAGGGACAAAGAGCAGACGCTGAAACATGTGTCAGCCCTGTCGGGGATCGACGCTATGGCCATCGCAGTTGAGACAGATGACACAGTCGGGCAAATGGTAGAAAGTTTAATGGATATAAGTGCTCTCACGCACGAGGCCTACCAGATCCCTAAGACCGACGATGGTAAAGATCAGGTAGCAGCTTTGGTCACTAAGCTCCTAAGTCGCACCGAGATGCTCAGCGATCCTGAAGCCTTGCAAAAGGTTAAGGACGAGGCAGCCGATTTGGTTAACGAAGGTACTTGGGAGTATGAATCCGTTAGGGAGAAGGAGCACGTCCGTGCTGAGGCTAAGGCTTCCGGAGTCTCCGTCCATTTCGGTAAACTAATGACCATAGCCTCCATTAAATTTTACGAGCTGGCAAAAGAGTTGCAGAAAAAGAAAGGTAGGATTGTCTACCGAGGTGACTGCGCAAAGGACGAACATGGCGCAGCAGCCGTCTATGAGGAATTAGGCGCAAACCCGACTTCGGTCCAAGGGCTGAACGCTTGCCTCGCCTACGGGTCACTACCCGGTAACCTGTGCACCGCCGCGGATGCGGTGAAGGCGTATGTGCAAGCAACACTGAAGTCCAAGTACAAAACTTGGATCGAACTACCACCCGAACTTCGACCCGCGTGGTGGAAGAACAAATTTGTTCAACCAGTGGTCCTTCTCGTCAAGGCGCTGTACGGACATCCCGACGCAGGAGGGATGTGGGAACAGCATTTGAAGGGCATTCTTAAGAAAATGGGTGGCGAAGAAATCCCAGAGTTCCCCGGTAACTTCTGGTTTTCTGGTCCTCGTTTAATGTTATCCACATACGTTGACGACCTCACTTTGGCAGGCCCACGGGAGAACCACCAAAAGTTTTGGTCAGAACTCACGAATGTTGTTAACGTTGAACCACCCGAAGCTATTTATAGAATGCTAGGGAGGAACCACATCTACGCGGTAGTCCCAGATTCAGGAAACACCGAGACCGCTGCTTTGCGCGGTAGTGCTGACGCCCTAATCTTCGACATGAAAGATTACGCGCAGCAAACCATCGACCTCTACAAGTCGGTGGCCGGTGTCGATAAGATAAAGTCAGCCCAGACGCCATTTCTCGTCGACGGCACATTCACCACGGCTGATGAGGAGTCGCCCGGAGAGCTCGCACCAAAGGCATGCTCTATCCTGATGAAAGCTCTTTGGCTTGCCAGGTTAGCGCGGCCTGATATACTTAAACCGATCAACGATCTGGCCACCAAGGTGCAGAAGTGGACCCGTGTCCACGATAAAAAGCTGCTACGGCTCATTCAGTATATTCAGCACTCACTAGAATATAGACTAACCGCCGTCTGCGGCGATGATGCTAGTGAGCTGTGGCTAGAACTTTTCGTGGACGCCGATTTCGGTGGGGACCAACATGACGTGAAGTCGACCTCAGGGGGGTACTTAGTACTTAAGGGCCCTAACGCCCACTATCCACTAGCATGGGTGTCGAAACGGCAGACCTCCACGTCAAGATCCACTACAGAATCGGAAGTAGTGAGCTTGGCCTATTCGTTATATCAAGAAGGGCTACCTTCGCTACAGCTATGGGATAAACTTCTTGGACGGGACGTTAACCTCGTCATACAGGAAGATAATCAAGCCACGATTCTTGTAGTAAGGAAGGGCTTCTCCCCTAAGCTACGACACATCAGCCGAACACATAAGATAAACCTCAGTTCCTTAAAGGAATGCATCGACGACCCATCTGTCGAAATTAAGTACATCGATACGAATGAACAAGCTGCAGACATTTTCACCAAAGCGTTGCCACCACAAAAGTGGTTCAAAGCGCTATGCTTGCTTGGCATCCGTACAGATATAAAGTGCTTAGTCCCATCTAAGACAGATAGGAGCCTTCCGAGCAGTTCGAAGCCTTCGTAGGTCGTCGAAACCGCTGCCACCCGGCGCGGTAATTCGTGCATGTACAAAGGAATGCTGCCCCAAAACGGGGAGGGGGGAGTCATTTTCTGTGAACCCCTAGTATGTAACAGCATTCACTACATGTCTACTAGTAGCTACGGTTCACACACCACATGTACAATACATGTGCCGACCGTGGCTCATGGCTCAAGGAAAAGGGTGCCTCCGTCACTCTTTTCTTTCAGGGTGCCAGGTTGGTTGACCTGTGGTCGGCCCTCCTTTTCGTTGCCTTCGCGCTTCCGCACTCTTCGCTCTCGTGCCTTCGTTCGATCGCCGTCGCGCCTTCGTTCGCTTGCACTTCGTAACCACGGGTACTCGTCCTTCGGACTCCCCCCGGGTTATCATAAACATCGATCGTGCTTCCAGGGATCTGGCATACTTCTTCTACCACCTTCCGGTTGAGAGGGTTGCCTGGGCGTTTCCCTACGCCCCACCTGGTTTGTACACTCAATTTCCTTGTGGCTTAATGCTTGTTTGTGCCCCGTCTTGCAGCGAGTTCGCCACCAAGAAGGGACCCCAAGGACGCGAAGAAACGAAAGACATCCTCACAATCAGAAGAGCCAATAGCAAGAGTAGACTGAAAAAGGATTCAACAGTGCCCATCATGCTCCAACACAGCTTTACCAAACAAATGGAATAGTCCAATATACAGCAATTGATGAAACATGATTGCCAAGCTATTCCACTTCTCAAACTTCTTCTTCTCTTCTCTGGGAGGAGCCATTCACAGATCCCAGTCCGTTTGCGCAAAGGTCTTGGCCTCCCGATGCATTCTTGAGAGCGAGCTACAGGCAGCGGGTTGGGTCACGCGTGCAACGCAGCTCGCGTGTTCAGGTCACTAGGTCATTTGTGGCTACGCTGCTACTCACCCTTTTCAGCGAGCTAGTGTACCGATGATCCCGAGAAGTCAGAGCAGGAGTTGTTCGGCAAAGTTCGAACGCCAGCTTGGGATTCTTCACATTTCTTCACATTCAGTGGACGAATCATCTCTCACCACTTCTCTTGTTCTACGGCGCAGGACGTTTACACTGGTCCCCTGGGCCTGCTTCTGTTGACTCAGTGCGAGAAGGCCGGGGAAACTCTCGCGGGTGCACTTTGAAGAACGCCCGTGTTCAAGACGTTGCAAGCATGGGGCTGACGCGGTAACACTGCCATGTTCCTTATTGCCACATGATGCTTCGTGGTGTGACTTTTTGTGCTTTTGTGAGTTGCCTTCATCCCGTGTTCGTGCCAATCATGTTGACTGATTTATAAACCCCCCCCATATCAAAAACGGGAGGTTCTATTCACGAAAAGCCGAATGTAACAGAACCGACCACCGCGGTGCTGGCCTTGGAATCGCCTTCGCCTTCGCTTCGTCGAGTCCAGGCAAGGCCCAAGCCGCTCAGGGAGGTGAGAGGGGAGTGCGGTGCGTGCGCGGCGCGCACGGTGGGAGAGCGGGACCGGGTCTTTCTCTAGTTGTAGATCCCTCCAAAGTTGGCTGGTGTATGTGGCATGTGGGTTGATTTGGGGACTGGTGTTTCTCCAGAATCAAGGTGTGGGTGACTACGTGCTGTTCCTGTTTCAACGTGCTGTTCCAGCGGACCAGCGGAACCCTGGCTCTCCGCCACATGTACGCCGACCGTGACGGCACCGCCGACCGTTGGGCTCCAAGGGCACGGATGGACCGTTCGATGACAGCAGGCTCTTTTCATACCGTTTGCCTTGGACAGTGCAGTTCATTTCTCAGCCAACATAGACAGACAAAGAAAATTTAATATATATATATATATACATATAGGGATCCCAGCAAAGCTAGAAAAGAAACAATAAGAATATAGCTTTTTGCCTCCAAGCTATTGATTCTCTTCCGGAGTACCTCCTGACCGCTCATGCTCTGCTTCCTTTTTCGGCCTCTGCGGGCGGTCCACGCTTCCGCTTGATGCCATGGATGGCACCTTGGAGGCTGGGTGGACCGCCGGGTGACGGTCCTCCCGGGTGACGGTCGGCCGGCGGCCGCGCGGCCGAGGCGGCGCCGAAGCACCTGAGTCCACAATCCGTCTTCCGAGCGGCTCTGTTCATCCAGGCCGGTGGAGGGGGGAAAGGGTCGGGTTGGGACGGGGCCAGGGGAGGGGCACCAGAGATGGGGCCCGCGCAGCGCCGCGCAGCAAGAGGCTTTTGCCAGGAACGTTTTTTTCGGAAAATGATGCTCTGCCAAGTACTAAGTAACCAAGTTTTGGATGGTACGTCAAACTTGGTCAAACTCGGTTGCTTCGTTGCTTCGTTGGTCGGTCACGAACGCCGAGCGCCCAGACCGCCTTCCGGCGATGGCAGCTTGCGGACCCGGCGAGGCGGGCGTGGGCCGACCATGAGGGGCCCGGCCCATTTGAAGATGTGTTGAACCATTTCGACAGGACCACTAGGAGATAATCTAGACGATCTAGAAGTCTCACTTCTGTAGTAAAAGAATGGGATGATCCCTTGAACCAACGGGTATTGTATTTCTATAGTGTTGGTAGGTGAATGGCACTGTTTGCTGCTACGTGACTAGCGATGGCCTCCATCCCAGTAGCGATGGCCTCCAACCTACTGGCGATGGCCTCCATCCCAGTAGTGATGGCCTCCCCCTAATACCAGCTACATGCTTCCATATGCTTCCCCAGGCTTTTGGGCATCGAGTCCACCGTGCCCTCGCCGGCCTTGCGCGTGGCGCTGACCTGGAAGCAGCGGCTATGCCGGCCGGAGACGGTGGATGTGCAGGCGGAGGCCGGGGCGGGGAGACGGTGGAGTCACTGCTGTCATCTCAGTAGTTACATCACCGGCTTACAGGTGGTATAGGGCTTAAAAGACATCTACAATTACATGATGTATCATGATGTCATGATGTTATTTATACATGCTATATTCGGATATTCACCATTCTTGACGTGGATGTGGTCAGGCTTGCCTTTTGGGAGGTCTACCCCTTTGGATGCGCGTCCAAATGAATCAGAAATCGAGTGGGCCTCGCCGATGAAGGGAATCGTGTGATCACGAGCGTCGAAGCTCACAGGTCTTAGCTCGTTGGGAAAAGTCGCCTAAAAGTAAAAGGGAGAAGGCCCCAGATCAGTGTGCTAGTCACTATTCCATGCAGGTTTACCCTCAGACCACGGAAACTGGCGCTATGTCACATGTCGCATTGCTCATGTTCCAATCGACGGTTCTTCGACAGAACTACATGGGATTCGTCAGTGTTCTGGAATTCAGAGCGACTCAAGGAGCAAAGGATGCTACTAGGGTCTCCTGGCCTTACTACTAGGAGCAAGGACTCCTGGCATCGCTACTAGGAGCATTCTTACTACTAGGAGCAAAGGACGCTACTAGCATCCAAGTTTTCCGGTGAAGGATCAATGTGGTGAGACTCCGTTGTAGTGTGTCCCCTCAAAGACCACTAGAAAGAACCCCACAATATTGGTCAAAGAGCTACCCCCAGCTTGGGGTTGCGTTTACACAGTGGGACCGGAAGGTGCAGGTTAACGTATAGGTCACATGCACTTTCTGTCATTAGTCTTCCAAAAAATAAGGTCTACTACGACCCCTCCACATCCTCAGGGGGGCTGCCGTGTCGTGTGGCGACCGCCAGGCCATGGCGGCTGTGGCGGTGATCTGCGGCCGGAACCGAGGTCTCACGCTAGGGCCCATCGTGGCCTGCTACAACGAGCCGAGACCCCTAGAGATGGCTCTAGCCACAGGGGGAGCAAGTGGAGTGGGAAGGTGGAAAGGTACTTCTGGTGGTTCTGGCATTGGTGCGTGGCATGGGCCGCTTGTTCAGGTCTAACTTGGCTGATCCCTAGCTCAAGAGTAACAAGAGCAATTGGGTTGCTTGATCTCTAGACCAAGCAAATCTGCAGTTCTGACGGAATCGGGCTGCATATAGTTCCAACTTCCGGGCAGGCTCTTTGTCGGTAGAGCCAGGAAGCATGCACTTTGTTACGCGTATTTCCAGGTGAAACAGCACAAAAGGTGTGCAGTTTTTTGTTTTCCTTAGCCGTCTCCAACGGCTACAGGTATCATGGGAAGCTTCCTGACGATGATGCCATCTTCTCCCTACTCATGGAGCGATTCCAAGAGGCGCCGACATGGCGAGAGCGGAGCCGCTCCGCAGGTCCTCGGAAACCAAAGACCTGCGGCACCGAAATCCGAGCTCACCATGTTTAAGTGGTTTCGTAATTTAAGGTTATATATATATATATACACACACAGCATACAGTAAATGTTATTACAAATAAGCGTTACCACCAGGATGATTTCCCTTGTGGGTAGGGCCTGATGAGGCGTCAGGAGGTGTCAAGCGTTACATGCGCTGCAATGCAACCCCCTAGGTGTCAGGGCGGGGAGCGTTCCGTTGCCCGACGAAGCGGCCGCGACCTGTGAGGTGGCGGAGGACATGGATGAAGCTGTCCTGGCGCAGCTTGAAGATGTGCAGCGCCCATCAGAGGCGACACACCTCCATTGGGCGACCAAACGTGAGGAGTGTCAAAAAGGTTTTTGGGACCAAGATGTTAACAAAGCTGGGAAATCAACGCAGTCTCAAAAGACTTCCGTCAAAGCTGCAACTCGTTGAAGACCAAGCTCACTTTTTCGCAACTACGAACGGAGCGTTCGAGGACGCTTCGATGCCCGGAGCAATGGACACTGCATCGCGTAGCGAACGGAGCGATCGGACGCGAACCGAACGGATGTTGGACGTCCATCTCGGCCTGCCGCCTCCGCGAGGCGCGCGCGATCATCGAGCAGGGTCGAGCTGCCTGGGGTGCACCGGCCAGGGACACCCAGAAAACGGGCCAAAGCATTCGAACTTTCTTCGGACTGCCTACCCTACCCACTTCCGAAGAATGGACAGGGTGTTTTGCTATGCCTATAGACTCTGATGGCTCAGTCTCGGAAGACTCAGTTCACACGGAAGGTGAAACTACTGTGGCCTGAACAAATTGAAAGTGGCATCCAACCTGACCAGAAAGAGCGATCACACTTGATGGTCAGAAAGTTGGGAAAGAATGCGCAAGCATGCACAAGTAAGGCTGCCAGGTGGTAGGCTAGATGGGTAGCCAGCTTCCAGCTTCTGGTAATGTCGGAAACCTAGCCCTGCGGCGCCTGCGGCTGCACTCGAGGAAAGATCGCTGATCCAGAATCATGTGCTCTTCTCCTCTTGTCAGGCGGGCAAATTCTGGCCTTGTCAGACGTTCCAGAACTTGAGTACTTGAGCATTTTGTCCCTTGTTCCTTTTACCTGTGGGTTTCAATGTTTCTCTGTTCTGGAACCATACCTAATCTATTCCAATGGACCATTTCAGATGGGTGTTTGTCAAGATGGACCATTTCAGACGACTGCTGGTCAGGAGAAAGTGGAGCAAATGAAAAGAGTCATGGAAGGCAGGGGAAGCTGCGGAAAAGGAACCGACTCTCTTCCGTATACCGTCCTTTTAGCAACACGTGTCGGTGAGAACTAGCGTTCTCCCATGGGTTAGTTCCATTGGCTACAGGGAAAACAAGGAACAGGTGTCCAGACCCATGTGTGAAGCCAGGCGATTGGGGGGTGTGAAGCCTTGCGATTGGCTGAGGTGAGCTAACAGCACGCAGCATCCTCAGCACCCAGGACACTGCATCATCTCGTCATTCCAAGTCTTCCCAGTCTCGTCCCAGTCTCGTCAATTCCTTGGAGGTTGAAGCGTCCGTGGACCCACCTGGGAGACGTTTATATAACTTTGGGATGAGCTTTCATGAGTTCGTTGGAACACCTCCGGGGTTCGTTGGGTTCGTTGGGTTCGTTTCGGCTCAGCAGGTGGTTCTTTGGCTCTGAGGCCTGGAATTTACCACGACGAAGCGCTCCATACAAAGATTTTCCGAGGACCTGCTTTGTGGTGTTTATGGCAGACACTTGGGAAGAAACGGATGGCATTTGGCAAGTACAAGTGAGTCATTGTTTGTTTCCTAACTTGAAGAGAAACAGAATTGAACTGTTCAGAGCAGGAAGTGGAGCAGGAGTTTCACAACTGTTGCGAGCTTAGAGACGCGTTCCGATTCACCATCACCGCCACCTCCGCGGACTCTCCGCGGACTCCGACCGCGTCCGAGCGGCCGATGCGTCCGCTCCGGGTCCGGGGGTGGAGCCCTCCGCAGGTCACACCCCCTTGCGTGGGCGTGTCTTGAAGGCCAAACAGGCGCACAAGGCGAGGGCGAGGGCGAGATCGATCCTCGAGAAATCAGTTTTGGGGGCAGATCCTAATGAGATCCTCTCGGTTTGAAGGGGCTTTTGGTTGAACTGGCAGGCCCGAGTGGAGCTCGAGGTGCGCAAGCTTGTGTTGATTTTTGCACTGCACAATGAGTTTCGTTGCGCAGCCCTTCGTTTGAACAAATCGAAGGGAAGATTTTGGACCAATGACTGTTGAATCAACCAGTGTGCTTGGTGGCGATTTCTTCCACCTCAAGATGTGGATCATGCCAGGTGCAATCGAACTATGGCTGGCCGCCCAAAGGGCAGCCAGCCCTGTCGGAGTCTGAGGGTTTCACGTGGGGCCTTGAGATGCCTTGAGGAGATTTGGGTGGGGAAATGCCTCTTTTAAGCCGTGTTTCATTGGTCAACCGGACAGGGAGTTCTGAAACAAGGTGATTTGCCATGCACTGAGGCTTGCCCGGGCAGTGCGCTGGTTTGCGCTGGAGTTAGGCCTGTCTGGGGAGATGAGAATATCGGCCAGATGAGAAGCACTGATTGCAAGGGGCGACTTTGATTTGATGAAAAAGAGGACCTCAACTTCCAATTGGACCAGAATGGCCTCGGGTAGCATTGCAAGCCAAGACAAAAACGTACATGAGTCAATTACATAAGGGACAATAATGAACACTTGGACATTTGCAGTTCGGCTCCTCCCGCTACAACCCCTTTTTTAGACTTTTCGCATCTGATACTCATCACATCCAGTACCTTTTAATGCGGTCTGCAGTTAACACCACACTCACAGTACCAATTTCCAAAAAAGCGCCTTTCGCTGAAAGACGCGACTTTTTGTCACTTGTTGGAGGCCATCGCGGTTCGTAGGTTGGAGGCCATGGCTCTTGGGTTGGAGGCCTTTGTCTCCTATCAAATCTCCCCTGCCCGAGCCGCCGCTGCGGCTCCTTCGCCCTCGGCGCCCCGCAGGGAGCGAGCACCCGGCGGTGGACGACTTCCTGCGCGCGGCTCTGCGGGAGCTGCGGAGCTGCGAAGGCGCCGCTGAAGAGGTCGGGTCCCGGGGCCGAGAGCGGTACCGGGTCCTTTCCGGCCAAGCGAAGCGTTCTTATGGAGCGGACTGGACTGTCCGAACAGTGCTAAGGAAAAAGCTTTGAGTTGTAACATTTATGAGTTAATATTGTTCTATCTAGTCTAGTTGGTGGTGAAGATTGAGTTCTGAGTTGAAGTCTGTTTCCCGTCGCCCTGCATTTCTGCAGTCTTGTGCAGGCGCTGCGGCCAATCGAGGAGGCGACCTCCGAGAAGCGACGCAGGTGGCGCCAAGCCGGAGATGGGGTCGATTTGGGGATGAACTGAGTGGGGAGGATGTGATGATCATGACACAAACCATATCTAAATGTATTCCTGTTTTTTGTTGTGTGTGTGTCAGAGTTTTCCATGGTGTTTTGAGAGGAAAAAGTTGAAGAGATCCCCTCTTGGTGTTTTTCATTGGTGTAACTGTAACCATTGATCTTGCGGTGTTTTGTTCTGGTTTTGAGGCTCGTGGACAAGTATGTAAGATTTTGGCAAACACCAATGATTGTGTGTGGTCGGCGGGATAGCTTCAAGCAGCTACGTAGCTTCAACATAGCAAACAAACAAGCATCGAACAGGTCCATGTCTATGTGTATGATTGTCTGTGTATGTGCACTCTAGCCTTCCAAGACTGTTGAAAGTGCTTAGTAAAACAATGGTTGTCCGGAAAGAACACAAAAAATCAAATCAGCAAGGTCACGGTGGACGTGTCTCACATATGCTCTTGCTGCAAAAAGTCCGCTCGGCTGGTGGGCAGTTCCCGTGCGTGTCTTAGTGGGTCCACTCGTGGGTCCTCACCACTGCAGGCTGGCATTGTGGCCCCCGGCACCCAAATTGATCCAGCAGGCCCTGGTGTCGATTTTGAGGAGGCGGTCGGTAACAACTGTCGTTACCATCTTTCACAGACTTGTACCACAAGCTTTGATGTCACCTTCATCAGATGCGGCTGATATATGATATATGCTGATATTAATGAATGGTGGGTGACCACCTCGTGTTTTCTCCCCAAGTCCTACACGCGGTTACAGTGGTGGTAGGTCAGTTATCGTTTCTATCTCTCTGGGGACGACGTTCTCGGCTTGGCAGGGCATCACCGAGCAGCTGGAAGAGATCCTGCGCACGGTAGGGGGCTGAATATGGACGGTCAGGACGTAGACGAAGATGACGAAGGAGGGTACCAAAGCCAGCCAACAGGCAGAATTTTTGCATAGTTGGAAGATCCAGGTATGACATAACAACAAATTCAATTGCATATCATTGTGTTTATCTATGTACGCTGTAGCTCCTCAGGGCCATTCTTTTTGGAGCCATCTCCAACTCGGGTTCATGTCAAGATGACAGCAGGGTTACCGGAGTGAAGTGGCCGAAGGTTCCCTGTATGGTGCTTCAAACAATTCACTTTTCGATCCTGTGCCATGGAGCTTGGGTTGGACAAGTGCTGGGAGCACACCTCTGAGGCCAAGCCAACCTTGCAGCACTACAGCGAGGCCTTCCCCAAGCCGTCTGATCTGTGTGCTAGCGTGCGATCCCAGACAGCAACAAAAACATCTTGGGAACTTCAGGACAAATGGGGAAATGGACAGCAACAAAACACTGCTGACATGGGGTCCCACACGGGTTTGACCTGGGAGTCCTCCACTCGGTCCCGCACCGCTCGAGGAGCTGGCTCTGGAGTGTCCTGCGGTGCTGAAACGCTTCGGTGGGATCCTCCAAGAGGCCGGGACGAGCCGAAGGGACGGGGCGACTGCTCCTGGGCGGGCGACCGGGCGGTGACTGGACGTTTCGGAGTGGTTGACACCACCAGGGCATTGAAGCTGTAGCGCTGTGTAGCTGTAGCTGATTATTTTTGAGCTTTTGATGAAACACCCACTTGATACCGCAGAGAGGCCTTCTTCTTCGAGCCATTTGCTGCCCTTTTAAATGGTCCTCTTCAGTTTTAATCCAATGCCTGTCGACATGCTGATGTTGTTTTTAGGGCAAACATTGACGTTCGACACCGGCCCTGGGCATCAAATGCAAAGAACGTTTGACACCGTCGCCGTCAAGAACCGTCACCGTCACCGTCGCAGTTTCTTCCCATGTTCTTTCGGGAGAAGGCGCATCACCTAGATTGGCCGACCCACGCAAGCGGCAACGATTTGGAGCAGGAAGTATTTTGAAGCCTGCCATTCACACAAGCACACAAGGGGTGATGTTGGATGAAACAGCCATCCACCCACTTTGGAAGATAGATTTACAAGATTCATGGCCTTTCCACGGCCTTTCCATCCTCTAATTGAACACATCCAAACCACACCAAACCGCACCAAGCACATCAAGCACCCCGGTAGCTTCCCCGAACATCTCCAGCTCCGGTCGCTTGTGCGTGGTGACCTGGTCGAAGTGACCTGCCAGTGACGCCGCGCGCCCAGACCTTTGCGGAGCGATGCTTCACGGAGGTGCACTCGGTGGCCCAGGAGCTGCGGAGCTGCCGGGGAGCCCCAGCCGTGCCGAGCCCTCGCGCCGTGCTCGCGCCAGCGCCTCGAGCTCGGTGAGAAGAGAAGAGAGGACCCCCCCAGCAAACGATCGAACCTGAGACACCGTGGTTTCGACCAGGCTTCCTTAACAACCTGGTGGTTTTGGGGTTCCATGTTAATCTGCAAGGGAGTAGATGAATGAATGGGAGTGATGGGATGAACATGGATGAAACGCAATGGCCGATTTTTCCGGATTTCTGGGTTGGTCTTTTCACTGACAAATACCATAAGGCCATAAGGTCTATTGGTGAAACATGTGTCAAACATGATAACCAACATACATGCCCTTCTCAATGCGTTTTGTGTGGCTCGTCTGCCAAAAACGAGGGCGCTCTATTTGTGTTCCAGACAACACCAGTGAACAAGGACGTAATAGCATGCAACGGCCATTCGATGACCTTCAAAGGCAATCAGCCAAACTTTCGTGGAAGTGTTCAATGTCCATTGCCAATGCATTTATGACAGCTCATTGGTCTCAGTCACTTTAGAGTCCATTTGACCTTTTGCCAAGCTGGGTAGTTCCAATGAGGTCCGGACACCGCTGATCAGGCCCGAGTTCCGGCGTGGGAAACGATCCTAATCACGCAGTGAAATAGCTCATGTGCCATCCTACCCCCCCCCACACACACAGAGACACACAGCTAGAGACACACACACACACAGAAATGAAAGACGCTTCCAGAAACCACAGTCCACTTCGGAATGTCCACAGCGTTTGGACGCCCCAGCTTCTGCTGGCTTTGCTCCTATTTTTGGAGGAAGAGCCCAAGCTCCAAGCGACCGCGCGGCTGTATCAGCTCCTCGAAGTGCTCCAGAACGAGGGCACCGCGGGGATGTCGCTGGCGATTGAGCTGGGCGCGGAGTTCGAGGAACTCCTAGAAGAGGCGAGAATGATGTTGGTCTGATTGATGAGGTCAAGGAGATGAACGCCCAAAAAAGCAGACGGAAGATAAGGAAGCCAATCTAAAACCTGCTCAAGTCGTCTCAAGTGAACATGACACTTGAAAACGGACTCATCTTGATACAGATCTTTGTCGATCTGGACAGATTGCTGTGAGCACTTACAGACGCCGCACGGTAGTCACCCGTGACCATCCAGGTGAAGCCTTTGATCGCTTTGACACGGCCCGATTTGATTCTGATGGAGCCGGAGCCCGGATCTTGGGAGACCGGTGGAGAGAGACAGAGGGAGAGGATCCTAACAGCGATGGCGTGCAACCACCGAAATGATAGATTCTAGGAATATCTTCTGAAGCACCTGACATGATGGAACAAGAACACCGGCAAATGTCTTGACTATCTCAAGCGCCAGGATTTGTGTCCTGAGGTAAGCCTCAGGACATGATATGGTCTCATTTTTTCTCGGGTCTCCATGCAAAACCGCTGTAAAGACTGGTGCTTCCCATAGACCTGGTCGCTTCATCAGCTTTCTCAGCTTTCTCTTCGACAAACTCACCACATTCTGCAGACTGCAGATGTCGTTTGATGGAAGAAACATGTAGAGAGGGCACATTGTCCCCTGTAGTCACTGTAGTCCCCCAGCCAATGGTTTTGCATGGTTTTGCCATGCTTTAAGGCTTTGGGGCTCTTCCAAATCATACAACTCCCCCCGCTTTCTTTCGCCCATTTCCATGCTACTCTTCCGCAGCCCCGGACTTCCGTGTTGCCATGCTTTGCGTCGGCCACCGGACTTCCGAGTTTGGATGATGGCTGGCATCGGCCACCGGACTTCCGGATCCTGGATCAGCCATTGGCTCCAGCCTTAGCCGAGTGAGTTCATGGCCCTGTTGGCCACCGGGCGAGGAGGACGCCAAAAAAAAACATCAACCGAAGAGGATCCCTCGGTGTGCCTAGATCTAACAACCGCACCAAGTGGATGTGAGATGCCAAAACTGCACGTGTTTTTGTTCTCCCTATTTTCGACACTCTGGCTTTCGTTCGAAGACCGAGGTGGCAGGGGCGGCATGAACGACCCATGAAACTCAAAAGCACAGTTCATTGGAACAAACTGAGCCCCAAACTGAGCCGTTCTGCCTTGGAACAGGTGATTTGGGGCTGCCCCAGGTGATTTGTTCTTTTTTGATCCTCTCAACTGTTTAGGGTCTGAAATGAGAAAACCTTCCAGGATTGAACATCACAAGGGCACCAGCTTCTTCAGTTCGTGACCTTTTGGAGTCCCTACAGGATCCTTTACAGTGACCCTTTACAGGCCCTTTTCGTGACCTCGGTCACTTGGATAGAACCAGCTTGGTCTTCTCACTGAAGAACCAGCGGTTGGGCTAGCGGGAACCTGCGGTTGCATGGCTTTCGATGGGTTTAAAAAGGGTGTCACTCCCTTTTCCATCCGTTTCCCCTCTTCGACTTCCACCGGTCACTCCGCACGAGGACCAGCAGGACGCCGAGCAACGCGCCGCGGCGGAGGCGGAGCTGCGGCGCAAACCGGCGACGCCCAACACGGCGAGGCGCGCAGCGGGAGGCGGAGAAGCACCGGGGGGCCGAAGAACCCTCCTTTTTGGTCAGTGTGCTTCAAGGGCGGCCGGGTATTTGTTCTTTTAAGGGGGGGTTGGCCGTTGTTTTTCCAGGGGTCATTTTTTCGTTTGTTTTTGGGTTTTGGGGCACGTTTTTGGTCAGAAAACAAAGACATATGAGATCTGGTAGGTCTAGCAACTATGGTTCTTGCGGACAGTCGCGCGCGCATCATTGCTTGTATTTTGATTGTTAAGGTTTTATATATGGGTAATTACACTGGACTTCAGAATGTAGAAGGCACTGGACTTCTTCCGACAACCGACAACCCGTTTCTCCTCTTTCTTCGAGACACCGACACAACGCCGCTCGCGAAACACCGCAGCTCCGACATCAACATCTCCATGAAACTGCACAGCGTCACACTCGAGGACGGCGGAGGGGAGGTCGCACCGCGACCAATTTTTGCTCTTAGGAGAGGTCTCTCCAAACACGCGTCTTAGAGGTTGGAGGCCATGGGTGGGTGGTTTTCACAAAGAGACCACTGAAAGGGAATCAACAAAAAGCAAAGGAAAGGTGAAGGCAGCGAGACGAGAAGGGCTCCCCCACCTGATTCGGCCTTGATTCGGCCAATGCGCGAGGATACGCAAGCCCGCTCGGAGATTCTCCTGTGCGGGAGCCCGTTTTTTTGGATGTGAGTGAATTCGGATCCTGATTGCAAATGACAAGTCCGATACTGTAGTGGTTCTAGGTTTTCACACTATACCACCAAGCCCTGACGACTGCCATGGCATGCCATGGGTTAAAACCTGAGGCTGGAGCGTTGTGCAATGATCATCGCTGAGGCCGCTGCTAGAGCAGCGGGTGAGTGGTTGGTCTTTGGAGAACGAGGGGTTTTTCAGACGCTTCTCAAACATGAGGTTCCACAAATGTTTGTGGAGATTTCACTTCCCTCTCTTCGCTTCCATTTGCTTGACTCTCCCTACTTTTTTGGACATGCAATGAGTTAGGGGTCTTTGAAGCTCAGACCACGCTTCGCCTCCCGCCTCATCCAGAATCCGACGGACCGGCCGGAGGGACGACCTCGACTCCTTCCTCCTTCCGTCCAGGAGTGTGGCATTCCTCCGGCCTGGATCACCAACCTGAGCTTCAAATCCGAGGAGACCAACCGGTGGGTCCGGCAGCTTCCTTTTTTGGGGCACCAGTCGGTCTGGAAGCCTTGGAAGACCTGGTCTTCGGGCGTAGCGGCACAGTCCACCTGGCTTGGAAGAAGTGATTGCAACGAAACATGTCGCAGCCTCAAACTGGTTCCACGAAACCAGCATGTCGCAGCATTCTCATCACATTCTTTGAGAGTGTCCACTCCATTCGAGAGTGTGGCACTCCAGCAAAATCAGGAGATGGAGAAGTCCAAACAGAGTTCCACCACCGACGTGGCAGATCTAAGTCTCGGTGGAGATCTTAGGGGAGAGTGGTCACATGGTGGTTGACCACCTGAAGCGATTGGCCCTTGGCATCGGCCGCCTAAGGCGTGGACATGTGAAGTTCCTTCCACGGATGGATTGCACGGCGCAGTTTCCTTCGCAGCAGAGTGTTTCACTCGGTGAGAGCTCTTGTTTCACACCCCAGCGAGAATTCAAAAGGTGTGCGAACCTGCAGGTAAGGCTTTGGGGGCGCCACTCCATGTATTGGTCCTTTTTCGAAGCGTGAAACGCTGTGAAGACCAAAGGCTGCTCCCATCGTTCTGTAATCACCGTGCAGAACAGCTTGTACTTGTGTTGGCAGCCCTGTGGATTGGTGTCGCAAGAGTAAACGTCATCATTTCTGGATGTCTTCTCTGCAGGGAGATCCGAGGATGCTAATGCAACCCACTACGTAGACGGCTTGCAGCAGACGTGGGTTGATCACTGTACTTCCTCACAATGACTCCGACGACCATAGCCAAGCTGTCTAGCTCCTTCCTTTGCTACCCAGAGCGGCCAGGTGGCTATGGGACTCCTACGACGTCTTCGTGAACACTCCAAGATGTCAGAGGACCTGTCTGATTGTCCTCCGGTTCGGAAAACATCGACCCTTTGACTTTGTAGCTCTTGACGAAGATGTCCCAGTCCGTCCGTGGATGTTCAGAACCGGATGTGCTGCGAAACGATGGTTAGGACACCCCCCCCTGGTGGCACATGGTTATATAGGACTATGGTGAGCATTTCTATGCCATGCAGCAAGAGGCCATCGAGGGGCTCTTCAGGCGCACGAGATGGCACGAGCAGGTCGCTTTGGTGCTTAGTGGTCCAAAATCCACAGATATCTCAAGTAAGTGAGTCATAGCTGCCAGACCAGGACTGCGCAGGTCTAGACCCATCTCCGACTATAGCGCTTCAAGAAAAGCCCTGTGCTGCGAAAAAAGCAGGTGCTCGGGGCACGAAGCAGCCTTGTCGCTGTCCTTGAGCTTTACGAAGCCGATGGCTAAGCAGAAAGATCATGCCAAGATATTGGATTTGCTTTAAACTATACGTGCTGGCCATCAGCAACGACAGCACAGGGTCGAACTGCTTTAATTTAATGATCTATTCCATCACGAGCGAAGAGCACTATATATTTTCCCTTTTTTGTGAACCTCTAACATCTCAATGACCGAAATGGTTTTTGTTGACTGTTGACTGGAGTTTTCCGCGCAAGAACGAGGGCCCAAGACCGTGAGGTCCATCGACCATCGACTGATGCTCTCAGGCTTTGGGGCTTCAAAGCCAGCGAATGGCTGGAGCGGCCGCTCTATGTGGGGGAACCGGATTGCGAACGGGGCCGCTCTAGGTGGTATGCCTGGGTAGAAGCTGAAAAAGGGCACGGTGTAGACCGAATGTACTGGTCGGTTCAAAATGGGTTCTTTTGCCGTTCATCGAATTACGTCCTCTACAAACTGTGGGCCTCCAGCATATCCTCAGTTCGCAGAGAACGGTTGCCAGAAAGAGGTTCTTGAAATTCTTACTGCTTTTGTCAGGCAGGTGACACCGACTTGGTCCATGGTAGTTGTTTCTTTGCCCACCTAGGTTGTGCTAAGAGAAGCCATCTTGAGCTGCGTGACCCCTGACCGTTCGCGCTTGGAGCTGCTGGATGCCTATGTGCCGTGGATCAAGTCCGGCTTCGTCAAGGAGCCTCCGCATGAACGCGTAGCTATCAAGGTGAAAAAGCCCTGGAAGACCGTTGAAGAATACCGTAAGCATAGTTTGTGCCGAGAAATCCGGCCTTGTTATGACCGTGGTGGTTTGATGGCCGCCGAGATCCATCGGAAGATTCGGATGTGCCCTGATGGGCTCTGATGAGGACATTCGGTGCAAAGAGATTGCAGAGGAACTCGTCCGTCAACTCAAGGCCGTTGGCGGAGATGAAAACATGCCTCCAGTGGAAAGGCCCGGACGGTTTTGTTTTTGTCCGACGGAGTCAGAGGTCGTTGCATAAACAGCACACACTCAACGGGTGCACAAAAAGATTACTGTACATAGAGAAGACATGTATTACAATTACAATACATGTAGATTGTTTGGCTCCTTCACGAGGGTCTTGGACACCACCGCATGATATCATTGCCCAGCACCATTGCCATCTGGGGATTTGTGCAGATCCCGATGTCTTCGCTCCGCAGGATGCTCAGGAAGCTGCAGCATTTGCAAGTTTGAGGTTGGGCACCGGTCGTGGCTTTACGGGTCGACCGGAGGCCTTGGAGGATTATATGAGGGTGTTTTCTTTTTTTGTCTTGGGCTTGCGGTCTGCGAGTTCATGGAAGTCGTCCTACGACTACATATCACATATATAATTATATGTATATATAAATATACTATATTATATAACATAACAGAATTGGGTCGGCATGATGCTTTGCATATTGGACCGCTGTCATTGTGAACTGGCTAAGGCCCCGAGAGGTCTGCCGACCACGCATTGTGAGACAATGCCAAGCGATGTGAACTGCACACAGGGGTTGTGACTTGCTCGGGCGAATCACCATCGACACCCTGTGCGGGGTTGGTAGCTCACTGGGGAGAGTGGCAAGAAAGGATGCTCACCGGGATGTTTTGCCGCCTGCGCAAACGAGAGACGTCAACGATTGAAGTAGCGATCGCACTGCCATGTTGCAATCAACGGGCGTCTATCTTGGAACACCATGTTCCGGCTCTCTCTCTCTCTCCCTTTATTTCTACAGCAAGACAGTTTGACACTCAAAACACAAGGAGCATGCCATGTTGCTCTGTGTGGTTCATGACTAAAAGATGCAATCACAACATGTACGAGTCCTTCTGGGCAGCATTTGATTTGGACCATCTCTCAATCGCATGGTTCTTGCCCCAAGTCTCTCACCGCCGACCTGGCTCATGCCAGCCTTGACGGGCCAACAACGCCACGGAGCCACGGAGCGGGCGCAACGAGATCAACGAGTTCTCAGACGAAGTCAGCTCTCACTGTGACCTAGATACTCAGCATGACTCAGCCCTCAACACTCACCCTCAAAACTCAAACATGGGGGTTCCTTCCCCAGACCAGTTGGGGACCCTAGCGTTTGGGATCCCTACCATTTGGTGCAGAAGTTCTATCAACAGCAACACTTGCATCAGCGTTTTTTTGACTCAACAGGCACCAGAAGACATCCGCAGTTCGTTTTTCCCCACTACATAGCAGCACCATCAGCGACTCAGCTACTCGCACGTCTTTTTCTCTTCATTCCAAAGACACAGCGCATGATGTTTGAAGCGATGCTACCTGCCGGTTGACTTCCGTACAGATCGCAAAAAGGTGGGTGGGTCTTGTCGGGAAGATGGAGGAACATGCAGACACAAGCTGGTGGTCACCCCTCGGTGTCGTGCAAGCTGTGGTGCGAAAAGAAAGTGGAAGTTCATCATCCCAAGTTTGGGTGAAAAATACTATGACCTTCAATTCCACCTGCTGAGAAGGTTCGTCCTCCAGGATTCCTACACAGGTTGAACCCCTTTTAAGGAACACAGACACACTCGTGTGGGCCACCTGAGGGGCTGAAGAACTCCCTCACGGCCGGTCCGAAGGTTTGAAGACCTCGCCGGCCATGGAGGATGTGGAGGCGAGGGAACTGGGAGGAGCCTGTTTTGCAATATGCCTTGTTATTTGGTCTTTAGACTCCTCCATGAAGAGATGGTCCTCTCCTTCATCAGTCTTTTGGCCATTGTTCGATGCTTGTAGATCTTAGCCTGCGACTCGAAGTCGCGGAGCAATGTCAGGCATGGTGACAAGACAGAGGGTATTGAAACCGAGCCCATTTCTTGGCACCACAAGAAAGCAGGTCGTCGTTGGTAGTACAATCCTCACTATCCTCCGATACAACAGGTTCTGGTGAGGGTGTTAATCAGTAAGGGGAAGGAGTTCCGTGGTTTCAAGCAAAGGCTAAGTAGGAGGGCCCACAAACAAGAAGACTATAGAGCCAAGGAGGCAACAGGCACTTTGGTACTTGCCTTTTGACTGAAACCAGCTCCAGATCTCATCTCTGCGTACAACATAAGCAACGACCTTCCCAGTGTTGGTCACTCACCCAGCATCACCTTTCACCCAGCACCACATGAGGCTGTTTTTTTTTCGCTTCACATGGGTAAAAACCAGCTCAGGCAGTGATCTGTGTGAATCGCTACAAGAAGGCCACATCTGGTGGTCCAGAGGCCAGGCAGTGACGCGGCCACCAGGTTGTGGGAGGAGTGACTCGGGAGGCGGTTGTGGGAGGGGAGATGTGGGATGGTCCCGAAGTGTATAATTATTGAAGGAATTCGCCAGAGAGGAGAGTGAGAGACGTAAAATGACCTGTGATCTTCCAGGTTCTGGCCAGTGCCATTAGATTGCATTGGCATTCAAATTGCCACAGGCTGAGGCTCCTCTGGAGGAGAAGAGTGTAGGGGAACCAGTACGAAGCTCAGCATCTCAGTAGATGAGACTTTTTGAAGGGAAAGGCCAAACAAAAGAACAAACGAGAGTGTTCCAGCTTTCGCAGTTTTTTTTTTTGCTGCAGAACAACGGGGCTATACGAGGGTAGACCGATATACCGTATATACTCATAGGACATGCGTTGCATTTGTGTCTGACCAAGGAGACTCCTGGTGTGGATGAGTCGCTCTCCAGCGAGGACGACGTTTTTCCTTCGACCGACCAGCGGTCCGTCGCATCCCATCTGAGGGCTGAAAACAACCCGTTTTGAGAAAGCACTGCAGGAGGATGAAGAGCTTCTCCAGAATGATGTGAGCAAAGAGGAGCTTGAAGGCTACCAGGAGTGCAGATGAGCTTATTACAACATTACAACTGTTACAATATGTCCGCTACTCAATTCAGAACAAAGAACCTCAGAAGACTCTCTTGAAGACTCAGAACCTCTTGCATGGTGGTCTTCAGGTGTTGTAGAGCCCAAGGAACTTCCCAACGGCCACTGGCTTCTTGTCGAGGAGATCTTCGAAGCTCTCAGCTCGGAGGAGGACGGGTCGACGCCGGACGGGAGGTTTGCCGCACCAAACGAGCAGCGGGAGTGGGGATGGGGTGGTCTTGACTGGCTTGGTGCTTGGTACTTGACGTTCAGGAGAGCAAGAAGTTGGAAGAGCAGGGTGTGTGTGACAAGGAAGACGTTGAGAAGGAAGAGGATGACAAAGAAGAGGACAAGGAAGAGGCTGAGGAAGAGGAGGAAGAGGAGGAAAAGGAAGAGGATGAAAA